TAAGATTTTATTTATTTGAGAGAGAGACAGTGAGAGAGAGCATGAGCGAGGAGAAGGTCAGAGGGAGAAGCAGACTCCCCATGGAGCTGGGAGCCCGATGTGGGACTCGATCCCGGGACTCCGGGATCATGACCTGAGCCGAAGGCAGTTGTCCAACCAACTGAGCCACCCAGGCGTCCCTCAACATCAGTATTCTGACCAAACCCAGTATTGTGCCTGTCCTCATTTCTTCACTTACCTAATGTTTAATGCTTGCTACCCGACGATGCTATTGGATGCTGCACATATAGGGGTAAGAGAAAAAGGCAGATTAAGCGAATCAATCGCGCAGATCCCGCCCGACAACTGCTTCACTTGCGTTCAGACTACTCTGGCTGTTGATAGACGCTGGTGGCCTGAACTGGCACTGGAGTTGGGAGTTGAAATGGACGGAACTTGATCCATTAGAGGGGAGGGCTTAAAGGGAGGGTAGACGCACTAGTATTTCATGAAGTGAAACTCTCATATTTTTTGACTGTTTGGATGAGTCTGAAGTATATTTGAGCCAAACAAAAGCAAAAGTAGCCCGAAGGAAAAGGTCTCCGGAGGCACAGTCTTTCTGACGGTATTTACAACACCGAGCGCAAACCGAAAGGACCAGGACGAGGACCTGGGCCATAACCAACTCTGGCACTTCCAGGTGATCAGCAAACAACCGCCAATGCAACAAGAGTCATCGCTTCTCTCTTTATGTTAACAAGGAGTCTCATGAAATTTTATTCAACTTTAAGGGTACAGACAAGAAGCAGATTTCACAGTAAACACAGAAATAATGCAGCAGTGGGATTACTGGTTGGGATGGCTGTGCTGGAGGCAGTTCTGAGCGCCAGCAACTAGCTGGAGCACCAGCTATCCCGTTTTCTCCGTTCTTCAACTGTGTGCCATGCCAGGGTCCAGGACTCCTAACTAGAATGGAAATGAGGTGTATTTACAGAGAAAATATTCTTAAGATGCCAGAGAACATAGAACATCTTTTTGAAGTAATAGAGGCTTCAGTCTATAATGGGTCCCTTATTTCCCTAACAGAGTAACCTCTAGGTCAACCGCTTAAGCACAGCCCTTGGGATTTCAGCTTTAAAAAATGGTTTCAACTATTTTTGTCCTTATTGTAAAACAATTCTATGGAATGGAAACTCCTGAAGTGGAATAACTCAATTATATTTGAAAACTTTGTCACACCCCAAATTCAACGTATACACTTAATGCAATTCCCAAGCCTGTGCTTAATAGTCATCAACATTCTAATTATGTCATAGTTTGAACAAGGTATTGTTCTCTTCAAATAGTCGACTAAACAAGACTCAGATTTCTCACCAGTGTTTCCTGAATGGCACTACAGTGGGCACCATAAGCAGCTGAACTTTTCATTTAGATAAGTTTCTTATTAAAAATTTCTAAGTTAAAACAAATGACTAAGTTGACAGTGACTGAGTGCATTTGTAAAGTATCCTCATCCTTTTTTCAGTTCATTAAGAGGGGAGACTATACTCCCAGAACGAGAAAAAACTATAAGGGCATGAAAAACAAAAAAGCTGGATTTGATGTCAGTCAGAGAAAGACAATTATCATATGATCTCACTCACATGTGGAATTGAAGAAACAGAACAGAGGATCCTAGGGGAAGGGAGGAAAAAAACAAAGACAAAACCAGAGAGGGAGACAATCCGTAAGAGACTCTTAATCAGAGGAAACAAACTGAGGGTTGCTGGAGGGGCAGGGGAGGCAGATGGGGTAACTGGGTGATGGGCATTAAGGAGCGCATGTGTTATAACGAATGAGCACTGGGTGCTCTGTAGGACTGACGAATCACTGACCTCGGCCTCTGAAACTAATACATTACGCTAACTAAATGAATTTAAATAAAAAAGAGATTTTAAAAAATGGCTTGGATTTGATATGGCTGCTCACTGCCCAGTTAAACAGGGAGGAAAAAGCTGGCAAAGGGAGTCGGGAAGGCTTTCTAATCCACATTGTCATACAATTAGGGATGACTGGGTTGAGGCACAAATCCACTGCAATTCATTTTTAAACAAAAGCCAATTATAAATTATTTTGAAGTCAAAAGTACTTACATCTTCTAGAGTCCACTTAAATAAAACCTACTGAAAAACTTATTTAAAAAATTTAGGCCTCAGTAGGCTGGTGAAAAGAAACACCTTCTATCAATGCTAAAGGATTAATACTTTACATAAAAATCTTGGCAAGGCAATTTACCAGAATTCTCACAGAAATGCTTAACCTATTTTACATGTCACCTGTAAATAGCGTCTGAAGAAAACTTTCACAAAGGTAATCCAGTAGTCCAAGTGATTATGCACACTAAAATTTCGGCATCTGTTACACCTAAAGCCAACCACTATTTCTGTCAGTTCCTAATCTCCTGTAGTTTCATCAGTAAATTTCAATACCATTCTCCACGTGTTAGCCTAACGACTTTAATTAAACCATTCACCTAGGATTTTGACTTTTATATATTAGAAGGATCCCAAATGATTTTACTTAATGTAACATTTACAATCAAGTAAGAATCTGTGAAGACCTTCCAAGCCAGTGGGGAATGATATGTCTGTTGCCTATGGCGGGCTGGGGTGTAAAGTCCAATTGTTAAGATTGGCAGGAAAAATCCCGTCTCAGGAGACATATGTGCATTAAGAGATGTCTGCCAATGCAAATGGCTATCATTAGGTCCCCTCCCCTTTAAAATAAGATATACTAGGTCATACATTTGCAATAGGAGTGATGTCACTGCCATGCGGGACCAAAAGCCAACAAAAATATCATTCTTAGTCTTTTTCATGTGTAAAGCAGTTATACAACTCTTAGTCACATGCACTTCCTCTCACCACCATCACTATGCTTTTGTCAAAATATCCTGTAGAATTTTTGGTATTTGGAATTTTCATAAGAACAGAATAATAAATATCTCTAGGACACTACTTAAGAAACCTATGATCAGCTCTAAACATGTTTAATTATGGCACCTAAGAAGACTTATCCTTAGAAACCAACACCAAGTTTGGAAAATCAACTAACATTTATCCAATCATAATTACAAGTACAATTTTAACATCTAGATTAAGCATTACATATTTGATGCCATAGGTGGGCACTGGAGGCCAAGTTCCAAAATTACCAATTAAAATTCAAAATGAAAATCTGCAGTCTTTAGGAAGCATCCCCTTTCTTTACACTTATCCATTTACTATAATACTGTAGTAAGTAAATACTACTTTGTCATTATGAAGGAAAAAAACTACGATCAGACAAAGATCATAATGTAGTTCTGGAAGACTACACTCTTTCACTATACACAGTATATAATAAAATAGGGTACACTTTGTACGACAGTAACATGCAAGGGTTTGGCTGTAGACATATTAAATGTAGTTTTCGCTACATCAGAATTCTGTGTGGGTGTTTGGTTTGGGAATCATAAGGATGAGAAGGACAATTACTCAATGCTTACACAGTAGAGACATCTGAACAAATAACATATACCTACTATTAGGTATTGACATGGAATATATAGAAATAAACAAATGAAAGAAGACTGACCTCTAACCTAAGTGTAAGGATGGACTTTATTTTTTAAAAAAAGTCTTTTGAGGACTACAAATTACAAAGTAAAAGCAGATCACTATGTAGAAACCTAGTGAATACATTTTGCCTGTGCATGAAAACTTTATCAAAATTATTCATTTAACAATATTACCCCATTCACAATGGTCTGTTATAATGCTCTTCTTCATAAGGTTATATATTACACGTTATTCCCTCAAGATGAACTTTTAAACACCAAATTCTTGGCTCATGAGAATGGCACCTTTGAAAGGGGCAATTTCCATTCAGTCTCTGGTGGCATTATTCCAAGTTAGTTTCTTTCATCGAGAAAAAAAAAAAAACCTCTCAAAATATTCACTTTTAACATGAAGTTTCTGGTCGTATTTTGTTTTCTAATGACTATAAATATATATATATATATACACACACACACACACACACATATATGTGTGTATATATATATATAAAATATATATATATATATAATATATATATGGGTAGCAGCAAGAAAAGAAAAATGGAAGTTAAAAGGCAGCCACTAAAATAAATGGATCAATTGTACAAGAGAGATATTTGGCTCATGACAATTTAAAAAGATGGCAGCGTGGTATGTTAACAGCCTGCCGCTCGAGCTGTAAGCATGTTACGAGAATGAAGCTGACCCAGTGTGGTCACATGGGAATGTATGGCCATTACACTTCATTCTTTACAACAAATACTTCAAGCCAAGAGGAAATGAGTTACACTTAAGAGTCTCAATTAGAACACGCTGACCACTTAACATTTAACAACTCACTGGGTTTAGTATAGTCATTTCCCTTACTCACACTATTTTTTTTTTTTTTTTCAAGAAGTAATCTCTATACCCAGTGTGGGGCTCAAACTCATGACCCTGAAATCAAGAGTCAAATGCTCTACCGACTTGAGCCAGCTAGGCGCCCCTAACTCACATTCTTTTGGGTCCTTTCCAAAATTTCAAACGAAGTGCACGATAAGTGTAAAATACTTTAAATGACAAGATTTTAGTTAGGTACATTTGAAAATGGGTGTAATGAGAAGAATATCCCTCTGTTTTTCAGGGAAAGATACAAACTGAATGCAGAAGTTTCTCAATGGGAAGAAGCTCAACTTTTCTTCTTCCCACCGCCTCTGCCATATAAAATTTCCCAAAGAACTCACTTTTAAGCTTGTTCTCTATGGCTTTACTAAAGAATGAAAACCAGAGAGCAAACAACTGAGTTCAAGGACATCCAGGGTTAAAAATTTAAGAAAATATCAACATGCAAGCAATGGTCCAAATACTCAAGATTCATGTTAATGAATTCAATTATTGTATAGGAGATTTTCACTGCTGAGCAGGGCTTTGGGCATACCAAATTATCACACAAATCATTGCCTTTTGAGACTTTGGATACTTTTACAGTTTAATTTGCAAACAGAATATTTATAACAAATTATTTTTAACCAAATCATATCTTGAAAACTGTTTATATAGAAAACCCAGGGAATAAAGTGAATTGTTCATTGTGGAAGGCCTTAAATTACATTATTACAGTAGAAAATACAGGAGGTAGAAGATAACTGAAAAGACTAATGCAACATTAGATTCAAATCTATAGCTCCTGTAGCTACTCAAAACATGGTTTTAGAAACTAAACCCAACATTTCCAGTAACCATAGAAACAGTTAAAATAAAATTTGCCATGAAAGCCCTTATATCATGCTTGATATAGGGAGGTAGGAAGATGTAAGAACCAGGACACATGAGACATGAAATTTTATCTACAACTCCTGTTTGCTTTACTGAGGATGTAGTTTCAAAATTCAGTCACCTTCTTCAGCTTCAGACTCAGATTCTAGAAAAGGGGAAAAATGCAGTCAAGCATTATATAAATATCAGAAAGCAAAAAGTTCCCATTTATTAACTTTGAAGCTCTTTATTATAATTAAGTAATTTTATTAATAACCACCTACTTAAAAGGGGGATATTCAAAAACCTTCATTTGTAAATCTAGTATTTATTAAGTCGTCTCAAATTTTTCAATTTTCCTTCGAATACGTATGTTAGTATATTGGCCAAGCCATCAAAATACTTTAGTATTTCAAGTCAAGTTCTCCCCACCTGCCTTAAAGCAAGTGGGTATTAGTAGGTCTGTCACGAATGAACAAAAATCTATACTCGAGGTACAGAATGGTTATCTCAATGAAAAAAGGTAGTTACGTTCTACGACTGCTTTAAAACTAGTTCTCGGGCTTTACCACGCAAACTGTGCCAAAGACAAGACTTACCTTCTTCAGCATTTTTGAGCCACTCTACAAACTTTTTCATTTGCTCAAGGAAGACACTCTTCCCCTTTGCAACATGCGCATCTTTATACCACTTCAGAATGGGCTCCTCACTCAGGACTTCAGCTACAAAGAGAGCGATCATTACATCCGGGGCTTTTCAGGCAGAGTCAGAGGCACCTAAAGCGGAACTGCCTGCCTGGCAAAACTGAGCCTACTCAAAGGTATCGATAATTACCATATTTGAAACGCTCAACTGGTTTCTTCAATTCTGTAAGGACAGCCCTCCATTACGAAAAGCTTTATCAACTTGTTGCCAACGTATGACCAGCAACTAGGAAACACTTACTGAACCAGTGATTCTCCCAACCGAAGGCAACTTACAGCCCCCTTCGCTGGGACATCTGACAATGTTTAGAGACATTCTTGGTTGTTACAGCAGGGAGAGATGCTACTCACCACTCTACAATGCACAGGATTGTTACCAACTAGAGTTAAATGGCCCAAAATACCAACAGTACCAAGGCTGAGAAACCTTGTGATAAATGATTAGGGGTATCTGAAGGATGACATTAAATTTTTAATGTGTGACAATGGTACTGTGGTCTTACTAAAAACAAAAATAAGTCCATGTACTTTACAAACCCATACTGAAAAATTAATTAAATAAAGATTTCTAGAATTTATTTATAAATAATTAAGAGTGGGAGGCGGATGTAAATGGGGACATACTTTCAAGAAACCTAACTGTAAGCTATATATAGAAACCTAACTATAACCAGAGCCTGAATACTTGGGAATTCATCACCCTACTCTTTCTTAAGAGCAAAAAATTCTGGGGATGGGGATACAGATCTCTAAGTTTAGAATATACGAACCAACAAAATCATTTATGAAAAACAGGGCATGGAAATAATACATGTGCATGCAAACCACACTTACTGGGGTCAAAGTGGTCTGATTTATGCAGAACTGAAGAAAACATTATTAACAACCATGTAAATATTGCAATGGACTCTCTCTCAACAAAGTGCTTATTTTTATTACCACTTTAGACCAGTTTTCTGAAATAGGATCACAGAAATGGAATAATAACTAAACAGAAGGTTTTATAATCTTTACAGTCTTGAAGGACAAGTAAAAGTCTACAATGGGTAATGGGGTTGTATGATGGGAAGTCAACTTGTCACAGGCCAAAGACTACAGAAATGTAACAAGTGTGTCTGGGGAAGAGAACTGATAGAGAATGGGAGGTGAAGTTTGAGGATACATCAAGACAATTTTAGGTTTTAACTTAGTTAAGGTTTAGAGATGTTTTGATATATAAGTGGACTAAAAAGCACCCAATTCAATTAGAGACAATTTTGTCCCATGATTAAAGTAAAATATTTTATGGAATTGATGTTCAGAGAACTCCTCACTGGAATTATTAGCAGTATTCTAGGATTCTTTTTTTTTTTTTTTAAGATTTTATGGGGGGGGTGGTGGTTTAGAGGGAGACAGAGAAGCAGATTCCCTGCTGAGTGTGGAGCCCCATGGGGGCTCAATCCCAGGACCCTGAGATCATGACCTGAGCTAATTTAGACACTTAACTGTGTGAGCGAGCCACCCACGCACCCCTAGGATTTCTATCACCAAATTCAAATTTCAAATTACCTTTATAAAAAAGCACCACTATTTTCTGGAAGGCTTTCATGAAATGAATGTTGTCATAGCAGTACTCCTGAATCTTCAGTAACAGAGTCAGCTCAGACTGACCTTGAGTAGTAAAGGCAGCAAGTAGAGGGCTGTATTGCTTTTAAAGGGAAAGGAGAAAAAGTTTTGCCAGTTATAACAATGACCCTCCATTTCAAAATTCCTAAGATACAGAACAGATCTTTTAAAATCACTGTGAATTATATTCTACGTTGTGCAAACTAAAACAAGCAAGCAAATAAAACAAAGCAGCAGCTACAAAGTGTCTAAGTCAAATACGCAGTATCGCACCAGGGCTTCCAGACAACTGTCAATACAATGTTAGTAATTTAGAGGATAAAACAGGAGGGCTCTTATTTTCCAATACTCCCATAAAAGCAAACACCAAATTGCAGGTATATGCTATTTTTAAACGTGTATTTGTTTTTAACTCGTGAACCAAAGAAAGTTGAAGTCAGACTTTTTTTAAAAGATCATCAATAGTTTGTAACTACCATGAATAGTTATTTGTCTATTCGCTGGTGTTCATCCCCAGGAGCCACAGGATGGGATACATTCTCTAAGTACAGTAACAGCTCACGTGTCCCCACTTTCAAAAGAGCAGAGTAATGTTCTGAAATGGCATAGTTCTGATACCTTCAAGTGCTTGATGGCTTGCTCTGCTACAAGCTCTTCCTTTTTGTTCCATTCCACGGTGCTCATGACGCTGGACCAGACTATCCCAATGACAACGGGTTCTGGGATGTTGTTTTTTTTCATCTCCTCCTTGACATACAAAATTATCTGCAAAAAGAATTCAAATTTAGTAAAAGGAATCAATTTTGGTATGTACACTCCATACATCAAACGCAGACCTTTTACAAAAACATAGAAACACCTTTCTGTGCAACTGGCAATGACTACATGTGTACCACACGTAAGCAGAGACCTTTCGGAACTGGGAGGGATGGACCTCTAGTCCAAACCTTCATTTACACACAAGCGAACTAGCTAGGAAAGGACAGAGATGGAAATAGATGATTTATCCACTGCTTTGCACCCCACAAAATCCCCAAGCATTGTAATTTCTGGGCACCAGTAAAGCACTAAATATGAAAAAGACTGATGAGAAGCCCCAGCAGAACATTCTAGAGCTATTAATGAAAACCCACTGTGGTGAAATACTTGAAAACTTCTCAAGTGAATAAACGTTTTCTCTGCCAGAAAGAAATCATTAAGATGGTTTAAACAAAAATATCTTACATCCTTAAATGGGTCACCACGGGACATCTGTTCTTGAAGCTCTTTCTGGAGTTCCTTTCGAGCTCCTATGGTTTGCTGATTCCGAACATATTCTGAAAGTTCTTTCAAGCCTGCCTCTGTAAAGTACTTTGTGAAGTGTTCAACGCTCTGTTTATTGGCAGGAAAAAGTTCCTGAAAGGAGAATTTAATCGGGTTAAATGATCTTTAATCCTATCAAGAAAAACACCTCCTCTTTTCACAGATTAGAAACTAAAGTTCCCCCATCACACTTTAAGTGTCGCGAAGAATGGAAGCACAAAGCAAACTACAAACCATCAGTCTGTTATCCATGCTCACTTTCCGAAGACTTGCAGCCACTGCATTGATATCTTTTTCATTTATCCATGATTTAAAGAGTTTTACAGCAAAAGCTGCTGAAACCCCTGTAGAACAAAAGAGCTTACTTAATAGATAAATGGATTTCACCCGGTCTATCCCCTTATTTTCAAGGGGCATAGAATTACTCACTTTCTCCCTAAACTTCTTTCTACCACTAAACTGCTTAGCATTTCACTCCAATTTCTCTTCTATAATTTGCTAGTTATGTATTTTTAGTTATTAACATTGCTTTTGAAATGTATAAAATGACAGTAATAGTACTGACACTTGACAACGTGTCTTATTAAGTACCTAGCTGTCTAGTTTTAAAGCTAGTTTTTGGGGCGCCTGGGTGGCTCTGTTGTTAAGCATCAGCCTTCAGCTCAGGTCATGATCCCAGGGTCCTGGGATCCAGCCCTGCACTGGGATCCCTGCTTGGCAGGAAGCCTGCTTCTCCCTCTCCCACTTCCCCTGTCTCTCTGTCAAATAAATAAATAAAACCTTAAAACAAAAAACAAAACAAAACAAAAACCTAAAAAAATGTAAAAAGTTAGTTTTTTAGCCATAAAGAATTATTTAACTATGAAAATGACAAAGGGACCTTATTTCCTTTTTTGGCTCAACATATCCCCCAACTGGAATTAATCTTTCTGGGTTTCCCTGGCATTTCTCTTTTTAGGTTATAACCACATTTTGTCTGAGCTTTGGATATTTGCTGTATGCCTAAAGAGAGCCAAAGGTATATATGAAATATCATCTAATGAATTTTGTTCATAATTCATTTAAGGATAGTTAAGAAAACTAACACAATTACACAAGTCATATCTACATAAACTATATTCTAGCTTTTGTGTTAGTTCACATCTTTCATGATCTTATCCCCACCCACAGCTAACCAAAGACAACTCTTTACTAAGAGGTCATTACCTTCTTTAACCAAATTCTCGTTATAAAGGCTATTAAGAATGGATGCATTAAGTGTTCCATTAGCCAGAAGAACACCAGTCAACATAGCCAGCTTGTTCCTCTCCGACTCTGAAAAACCCTTTAAGAACAGCAGCAACTATAAAAGTAAATAATTAAAAGTTAAAAAGAGCAACTGCATTACATAAAGAGAAGCAGTAAGGCAAACTATATTGGTTAAGAAAGTGTGGGCTCTGGGGTCTGACCGTCCAAATTTTTATTTCAGTTGTTTGCCGAGTGATCCTGGGCAAATTACTTAACCTCCGTGCCTCAGTTTCCTCCTAAGTAAATGTGGATAATAAAACTTGCCTGACAAGATTTTTGTATTAAATGAGTTAATAATTACAACACTGCCTGATACGTGATAAATGTTACTATTAATGTTACTAGATTCTTTGGTCCGCCTATACACAGAATACCCAAGACTCCAACAGCAAGTATGTTAAAATTTCTTTCTCAATATGCTTAGCTCTGATCCTCTGTCCCCTATCTTGACCAGACCTCATTTTGACTTTTAGCCTTTTGTCACTTGTTTGTGGACACCAAGCTAAGAAACTGTGTATAACAAATTGAACTAAATGATACACCCCAAACCACCTTTCAGGCCACATAAATAGCTAATCATTTCAAATCTGTGGCAGAATTAAGATACAATGTTCTCCTCTTTGACCTCAACCTTTTGTTCCCACAAAGCATACTGTTCTTCATACCTTTTTTACTTCATCTTCAAAACCTTTCTCCAGGTATTTGTAGCGCCTGATTAACTTGTTAAAAACCTATGAAGAAAGGAATTTAATAATTTCATAACTATAGTTGCCAGATTCCTAAAAGATCTGAGTATCTCTCAGTATCTTTAGAACATCAAAGAAAACCTTCTGCTGGATACGAGTTTATAAACTGTGTAAGCCAGCTTAGGAAGAGTCTGTCAATTCCCAAACCCTACAGTATATGATCTAACACTTAAGGCACCCCACAACAGATTTTTATTGCCAAATGTTAAAGCAAGGACTAATTATTGCTCAAATACAAGTCATTTACCCATTTGTAGAATATTAATAGAGTAAGAGCACAGATATAGTTTTACTTTCCTAATGTACGATACCTTCAAATGAAATTTTGATTGGTAAGCTAATCTGCCTATAACCTATTCATCTTTAAGAAGTTATACGCAGGGGTGCCTGGGTGGCTTAGTCAGTTAAGTGTCTGACTTTGGCTCAGGTCATGATCTCAGGGTCCTGGGACCAAGCCCCTGCTTGCCCTTTACCCCTCCCTGTTTGTACACTCTCTCTCAAATAAATAAAATCCTTAAAAAAAAAAAAAAGTTATATGTAGAATAATTCTATGATTGAAATCATGAAAGGGAAATGATTTTCCTTTTCAGCTTGAGGTTTTTCTTAAAAAATGGATTAATTCCAAAGGGACAAGTAGGAAAATAACTAATTCAATCTTTTCTGCTTTGTTTTCCTTAACACATTTCATTACATTGCACCAAAAAGTATCTCTAAATCTTCAGTTCAAATTCCTTCAACCTTCTACTTGCAACCTCTTCAAAGTAGACTCTTCCGATTCAGATGGATAGTAGCTAACCAAAATAAATAAAGTCTCATTTACCTGAGCAAATGCTTGCATGGTCTCTAGGTCTTCTTGTGCTGCGAACACACAGACATCTGTGCGCATCATGTCATCTGCCAGTGTACCACCTGGGGCTGAGGTATATTTACAAAAAATTTGCAGTGACCTTCATTTAAAATTAGTAATTGTTTCCATCTTACTTTCTGGAAGGATTCCCATTATAAAATAAAATGATAAAAATTCTAAAAGATGATCTGGAAGCTAAGTCAGAATCTCAGTAGGAGTATGACTAGTTGGTTCAAGATGTGTGAATAAAGTGAAACAATTTAAGGGAATAACCCCCTTCAGCAACCCAAATAAACTCGGTGTATTAATAACTCAAATAAAGCTGTATTAATAACCACTCAGCAGTATCAAGTCTGTCACACAAGTGGAGATGCTGAGTTGGGTTTTGATAACGTGACTTTTCATTAAGAAAACCATCCTGTAAGTTGCCGAAGAGGCTGGGCAGTAAAAACTTACAAGTTAGAGACTTTATATTTTACATACGTTTATATGTATTTACAGATAAAGTGATTATCTGATACATACTTAGAAATATGGGGAGAGGGATGAAGTCAGTGGGGACACAGCCAGATCAGACTGTTAACCATTATGGAAGTTGGGTAACCGACAAGACGTTTGTTTTACTATTCTCTCTAGGGTATCTTCAAAAATTTCCTTAGTGAAGGTTTTAAAAAGAATTTTAAAAGCAGGCTTATTGGTAGTATTGTAAATAGAAAATGGGTATTTCTTACCTTAAACTGGTAACGCAGTGGAAGAAATTCTCACTGGACTAGGCATTAGAACATATGAATGCATGTTCCTCGGTTCTACCATGGGTAATTATTCGACTGCATGTAAGTCACTGAAACCTCTCTAAGCCTCCACCCTGAGTTCTGATTCTATCAGCCTGGCTGTGAGGGGCAACACGGTTACCACTATGAAAACATTCTGAAATATTTTAAAGAGCTATGGAAAGGAAACTGCCACCATCATTTGAAGATATCTAGCTAAATGACACATTCTTTTAAGATTCCCTGAGCGCTGAGCGTGGAGGGAGAAGTTAGAAGTTAGAAGTTGCTGCGCAACAGGAATACACTGTGAGCCACACGATGTCATTTCGTATTGCGAAGGAACTTTATTAAAACTTAAAATAGGGGCGCCTGGGTGGCTCAGTGGGTTAAAGCCTCTGCCTTCAGCTCAGGTCATGATCTCAGAGTCCTGGGATCAAGCCCCACATCGGGCTCTCTGCTCAGCAGGGAGCCTGCTTCCTCCTCTCTCTCTGCCTGCCTCTCTGCCTACTTGTGATCTCTGTCAAATAAATAAATAAAATCTTAAAAAACAACAACAACAACTTAAAATAGTGTAATTTTAGTATACTCTAACCCAACATATCAAAAACACTGATTTTAACATTTCAGTATTCAAATTATTATTAAGAGGTCTTACATTCTTTTTTCTATTAAGTCTTTAAAATCCAATGTGTATGTGACAGCACCTCTCAATTTAGATCAGCTACATCCCACGTGACGGAGAGCCACATGTGGGTAGCGGCTAATGTATTTAGGAGTGCAGTAGTCCACAGGTATACAGAAGTTGTATTTCATAAGACAGAAGAGGTAAGGGTTTCTCTACTAACTGAGAATGTTCAAACACAAGCATGAAGAATTTATTGACTGGGAATGTAAGTAAGGACATAGGTATCAGAAAAGTCATCCCCAAATATTAAGGTTTTGTAACAGATTTTAACTATAAAGCTAGAGATAATTTGCTAAGTTACTATGATAAGGGAGGAAAAAAATGGAAAACTCTTGAGGTAAAAGCCAAAAAGCCACCCCAATTTGAGGACTGTCAAACAGCTCATATTCTGAATTCCACATGATCTCTATACATTACACCTCCCACAAAACCCAGACACTTACCCAGCATTCCGCCAGCCACCAGAATGTCAAAGAGTGTTTCTGCATAACGACGGTAATCAAGCTTTGCTCCAGAAGCATCAAGAAACTTTGCTACTGCTTCCAAATCAGTACCAGTTTCAGTTAAGCCTTGAATAATACAGTCTTGAAACTGAGTAGGGTCAAACCTCTCTTTTTCATCTGGGGGGAAAACCCCACAACATTTAGTGTTAACAGGCTTACCAAAATGCCACAAAACCACCACCTTACGAAAGTGTAAGTCCTGAATAAATTAACCACATTTAGCACAATCTCATTGATTTCAACAGCTGTAAAACACCAACATAAGAAAAGACCTAAACATACACTCTCTGCAATGCAAGGCAGGGACTACCTAGTCACGAGAACTGCGTGGCTTTTCCCCCAGTATTTTTTCACATAGTCTCATAAATGATGAGTTATAAAACGAGCTAGTGTGCTCCTATAGCCAGGAGACAATTTCTACCTTAAATGCTCTCCTACTGCCTGTGGGCTTTTCTGAAATTTAGGACATCCTCTGAATTTCAGGTAAATTTTATTCTTCAGTTAAATTTTGTCCAAACACTGGAACTCTCCATTCTTTTCTCTAAGTGCCTGTAACACTTTCTATGTTGTTTTTTAAATCGTTCATTTGGTACTTAACAGTGCGTTACACACATACCCAGCCTTTACTAAGCTGCTACTACACACTTCATGACAGGGTTTGATCTCTCCATCTAGGTTAGATGCTATCTTAATTTTCACACAGCACTAGAGAAATCAACTCCTCCCTGTCTGCCCAGGACTTTTCTGTTTTAGCACTGAAAGCCTATGTCCTGGGAACTGTGTTCGGTCCCAGACAAATTCGGATGATGGTTCATGCAACCCAGAACCCCATCATCAAGAACTAGGGGGGCATGAGTGATCTCTATCTGGAACTGGGGAAGTGACAGCTCTTCCCAGTGCCAGTAACAATAAAATTACTTGATACTAAACATATTCTAAAGAACACAGACTTTCCCTCATCACTGCTGAATTGCTCTGGTTTCCGATTTCTGTTCCTCCTCTTGAGAAAATTTACCAGGTTAAATCTAAAAAATCTAAAATCTAAAAAAATCTGCAAAGACTAGCATCGAATCGTCTTCAGTCTCCCCACTACAAGAGGACAGTCTATCATCAGGGATTACAAGACTCTGTAATATACATCTCAAAGTGTCTGCTACCCAGGGTAAAGTAATACAATTTATAACCAGGAGCTGACCCAATTCTATTTCCTGTAAAATAAGGTCAATAGGTGTTTTTGAGCAGTAACACTGGAAGATTCGGGGGGAAAGTCTTAAGCACGATACAAAATATGCCCGTGACTACACCTCATTTAACTTTGTATCACTAGTATAGTGACTTGCTACAGAATTAAATATTAGCCTAACCACCCACGAATAGACAGAAGCAGTTAACATAACTCTACAATGTGAACTCTGTTCCATAGTTAACTTCCATGCATAAAGGTTTTTCTCTTACAAAGTTTCACAAAGTTTGGGAGGAATTAGCAATCACGATAGCTCTCCTTTCATTAGCTAACTTTTTCCCTCAAGCATAAGTCTGCTTGAATAAAATTTAGCTAGTGAAAATGCACTCCATACTTTAAAAAAAAAAACAAGTAGAAGAAAGAAATATACTTTAGCCTCGCAATAAAAAGACCACTCACTCATTCACTAACCTGCTAACCTAAAGATACGCATGCTGATACTAAAAAATAAAGGCTTAGAAAAACAGTAGAAATATTAAGGATATATTTGAAATGGCAGTCAACTACAAATTCAAGTTCCTTTCTGGTATTTTCTCTTAAAGTTCACTATTAAACCACTGCCTGCCAGAGAAACCAAGATATAAAAGTTATTCTGGAGATGTGAAGAGAGATATTAAAACACAAATATTTACCTCTTTTTCTGGTTTTAAAACGCTGGCCTGATAGCGTTGGCTTTTGCTGCTTTTGATTATTCATAAAAGACACCCTAGAAAAGAAAAATAAGGCCTTAAAAATATCACTGCCATTAACATTCATTTTAAAGATTTTATTTATTTATTTGACAGAGATCACAAGTAGGCAGAGAGGCAGACAGAGAGAGAGGAGGAAGCAGGCTCCCTGCTGAGCAGAGAGCCCGATGTGGGGCTCGATCCCAGGACTCTGAGATCATGACCTGAGCTGAAGGCAGAGGCTTGACCCACTGAGCCACCCAGGCGCCCCCATTAACATTCATTTTAAAACCAAAGCATCAAACCTTGGTCTAGTCACACATAAGTCAAATATTAACACAAACTCTCAGCCTGGCAATAGACCTGGGGGAAACAAAGAATTACCTTTGCCTGAATTAAATGTAACTTCAAAACCTGCATTTCTCCCTACAAGAAATCCTTTAAAGGTGGGATGTACACTTTTAAATGCCTTTACAGCACCATAGTGACTGGTGGCAAATCACCCATCATAAACATAATCGGTTTCCTCCTCATTCCTCTTTAAATTCCCCTATATTCCACTACTTCTCAGCACCACAGACGGCTAAAAGAGACCACCCCCAGAGTCAGGGGGTATACAAAAACGTGTACGTCAATTTCCAGACACCGGTCAAGAGGTGATTCCTTTCTACAGAGGGGTTTTTGAGCAGCAACCCCCTACCCAGTGGTGGCTGTGACTGCGGCGGCCGCCTGCACCAGCCCAGCCGGCAAAACGCCCCGAGAGCCGGCCTAGCCTCCCTGCCCGGTTCCCTGCGATCCAAGTCTCCTCCCCGGCACGTGTCTCCCCTCCACACCCTTCCTGCGCCCGCCGCTGGAACGCGACAACCCGCCCCCACGCAGGACCCCCTGGCCGCCGCGGGGTGCCGTAGGGGCTGGTCCCGGCCCGCAGCCCCTTCCCCACTGACCCAGTCGCCGGCGTTGGCGGCCGCCGCAACGAGCGGACCACAGGCGCCGAGGCGCTTCGCGCCGGGGGCCCCGCCGCCCCGTACATCCGCCCGCCCTCCAGCCAAAGCAGCGGCGGTGGAGGCGGCCGCAGAGGTGGTGGCGGCTCCTCCGCCCCGCCCGCCAGAACCCCCCACGCGTACATCACCCAACAGAGGCCGCAGCGGCTTTGTTACCCAGGCCGGGCGGCGCGGCCGGCGCGGCGGCGGGGGGGGGGGGCGGGGGGGCTGCCTCGGCCACTGCCTCGGTCTCCGGTGCCGCAGCGCACACCCGGGCTCCACGTTCCGGCCCGGACCGCAAGCCCTCGATCTTCCCGCCGAGGCGGCGGCGGTGACCCTCGAATCCAGGCCCCGGATCCCGCCTGGCCTCATGCGGCGGCCTCCGCTCGGGCCCATTCAAGCGGGGCCGCATCTGACCCGCCACCCCCTGTCCCCCTCCCCCGCCCTGTCCGACGACGAGGGGCCACAACCTCGGCCAGGGCCAAGCGGGCGTCGCGCCTCACCGAATTTAAGGCGAAGAGGAAAGAGCCAGAAATCCCCGATGTGGCGGCAACTGCGGCGGTGTCTCCTCTGCGACCGGAACTAACGCGAGGAGGAGGGAAGAGGTGTCACCCCCGCCCCGGCCGGCCTCCTATCGCGAGATTTCCGCCCCGGCGTCCTCCCCCGCGGCCCGCCGCGGCGCCGCCCGGAGCCTCCGCCGTCTCCATTCCGCGGGGCTCGGGGTGGGAAGTAGGAAAGGAGCCGGAGGAGAGTTCACCCGGCTTCTCTGTTTCTCTGCTGGGAGCCGGGTTTTCCGGAAATGTATCCCAGACTAGCCTGGCTTTCTCCCAACTCAGCTTCGTCCGGCCTCTCAGCACATGGAGGGGTTAGAAGAGCAGATACCCGCTCCCACCCCCTCCAGCCCTGAAGAAGTGGCACGTCCGCCCGGAGTCCCGCCGCGTAGACGCCCCCCCCGCCCCCCGCCGCCGCCACCCACCGAGCAGGAAGTCCGAGCCCGAGGGCTGGGTGCGCTGGGGCCCTCCTGGGGTGGTGGTTGAGCTGGGCCTGGGGCCGGTCTGCGGACCGCGGCTCTCGCCGGGGGTGCCGAGGCGGGAGGACTTTGCTGTGCGGTGCTGGCGCGGTGGGAGATCCAGATGGAGGGGTTCAGACGAAAATCCTCCCTCCCTGCTGTGGCCGCCCTTCCTTGCGTGGTCCTTGTCGTTTGCTCCTGAGTGTGGTGCTTGCGGGGACCTAGAAGGCATCAGACTCCCCTGAACGATTTTTTAAAACACAGATTGCTGGGTCCCACCAGCACAGATTATGTAGGTCTGTTGTGGGACTCAAAGATGTGCATTTCTGACAAGTTCCATGGGATGCTGATGGTGCTGGTCTAGGGACTGCACTTTGAGAAGCACTGGTTAGAGGGTGTCTCATCGGACAGCTGGGGGACAGGTAACGTGTGTGAAAAGCACTGTGGACATCATAAACCTGAACAAATGGCGATGCACCATGTCTCCCAGGATCCAGCCTCTGCATAGTGGTTTGCCTCTGCATTGTTACTTATCCTACCAAACACAAAACAAAACAGAAGTCACCTTCCCTGGACTCTGCTTCTCTTCCTTAGCAAATATTTTGGGCAAATTAGTTTGCATTAGTTGATACATTTTCTTGGACTTTGACTTTTGACTCCCTCCCTCACAACTTTTTGGAAAATTACTTTCTCGGAGTTCTTTCCCGAAATTATTGCCAAATCCAGTGATCCTTCAGTCCTCACCCTCCTTCCCTCCCCTGAGCATTTAGGGCATTACCCATCCCCTTAACCCTTGTTCTAACTGTCCTGGTTACCTCCCGGATACTCCTGTGTAATTGCCACCACCTCCTTTTTGTGCTCATACCTTTTATCTTCCATCATGCTTTCCTACATGATACTCTCGTATATTCCTAGAGATTTTTTTCAAAGAATGCCACATTCTCTTATTGAATCATTAAATAATTGTTGAGTCTAGGCTCTATGCCCTTCCAGGCTGAGGGAATAGCAGTGGGCAAGTCCTGAGGTAGGAAAAACCTGGTGTGTTGGAGGAATTGGAAGGGGCTAGTGTGACTGGACTTTGGTGGCAGATGGGAGGACCGTGGGAGATGGGAGCACAGGTGAGTGATAAGAGCCGGAGTTTTTTAAGTCTAACCCTATATGGTGAACTCCATAGTCCCACTAACTGTTATCTCCACTAAATGCCGAACCAAACACTCTTAAGTGCTATTGATTCTTCTTCTTCCCACCCAAAGCTGTTTTTCTCACTTCTGAAGTTCTCTTAAGGTTACAGTGTTCTACTAATAAAAATAATAGCCACTTTATGTGGCAGGTATATGTGTAATGTATTCCTCTAAGCACTTCACCTTATTTAATCCTCAAATCTACCTTAATATCAAAACAAACAAACAAACTACCTTATGATCTGGAAACTGTTATTAGCCCCATTTAATAGACTGGAAGACTGAGGCATAGAAAGAGCGAGTAACTTACCCAAGGTCATAGAACTAGTAAATGAAAGAGCTTGATTTGAACCCAGGCAGTCTGGCTATATATACCACTGTAGCATTACTGCCTTGCCACCAAGATCTTATTTATCCATTCAACAAATAGTTATGGAGCTAAAGGCCACTAGAGATACACAGTTGACAAGTTAGACCTCTGACCTCACAAAGCTTATCTTCTATATTTGTCACATTTCTCAATGTCGTCATCTTTTTCTAGTATCTTCATTTAGGTCCCCGTTTCCCCTAACTGGGACTTTTGCAATAACCTCCTAACTGCTATCCCTTCCCCTACACTTCTAGAGTAATCTTCCCAAATGCAGCCCAAACCATTTCTCCCCAGTGTTTAAACGCCTTGGTTTGTACTCCAGATCACCCAGGGATATTTCTGACCAATGTTTCTCACCTTTACTTCCCATCACATTGCTGGTTCTTAACCCACTATTGCCCTCTATTGTGAGGCATAGAGCAAACAATTTTTGACTAAAAACTATATTAAATTCGGGGCGCCTGGGTGGCTCAGTGGGTTAAAGCCTCTGCCTTCGGCTCAGGTCATGATCCCAGCGTCCTGGGATCAAGCCCTGCATCGGGCTCTCTGCTCAGCAGGGAGCCTGCTTCCCTTTCTCTTTGCCTGCCTCTCTGCCTACTTGTGATCTCTCTCTGTCAAATAAATAAATAAAATCTTTAAAAACAAAACAAAACAAAACAAAAAAAACTGTATTAAATTCAACAAGTGATTTTTATTTTTTAAAAAGATTTATTTATTTTTAGAGAGTGAGAGGGGAGGGGCGGGGGAAAGGGAAAGAGAGAAAATCCTTAAGCTGAGCGTGGGCCCCAAGCATGGGGCTCTATCCCAGGACCCTGAGATCATACCTGAGTAGAAATCAAGAGTCGAATGTTCAACATATTGAGCCACCCAGATGCCCCAGCAAGTGATTTTCTTAAAAAATTAAACCAGATCGAAGATTATCCATATAAGATCATTCTCACTTATTTCCATTCTGATACATGTTCCTGGAAGTCAGCACGGGAGGGGCCCCCTGGGAACTGTGTATGGAAGGCCAGCCCGTTTCATCTAAGCTTCCAGGTGTGCCCACAGGAGTGGGTGCGGTGGGCTCGCAAGGGAAGTGTTTGTGAACTGTACCATGGCAGAAAAGGTTCCAAACACCTGACCTCTGCTTTAGTCAGACTGAGATGTCCCTCTTCTTGAGATGTCCTTCCCTTATTTTTTATTGTCAAAATCCTATTTATCATTTCAAGCCTTATCTCAAATACTACCCTTCCCTTAAGCCATTCTTAGTCACTGCAACTGTCTTATCTTTTATCCTGTACTGAAATTTAAAAACAATTTTTTTTAAAGATTTAATTTGTTTGTTTGACAAAGAAAGAGAGCACAGGCAGGCAGAGCAGCGGGCAGAGGGAGAGGGAGGAGGAGGCTCCCCACTGAGTAGAGACCAAAGATGGGCTTGATCCCAGGACTCCGGGACCATGAATGGAGCCAAAGGCAGCCACTTACCCCACTGAGCCATCCAGGTGCCCCCATACTGAAATTTTTGATGGCGATGGCGATTTCTTGCTCATTTCAGTAGTGCCTCAGTGTATGGCAAGCAATGTGCTTTAGTGAGTATGGGATGAGTTTGACAAAACTAGTACTTTCCGTGAAGAAGACTTGACCATGGAGGAGAAAGAAGGGTGACAAGGAAGGTCAAGCTGATTTCTTATAGCAATGCTGGAAGATAGACATTGAAAGGAGAATCTCATCCCTGGCTGTTTTTGAGGTTTTACCATTTAAGGTCTCTGTAAAATGCGAGTGCGGATGCTTTACGTGACAGCTAAAACCCTTCTAACACTCGTAACTGGGGTTCCGTATCTTTCTGTAGACTCATTATTGGTATCTGTAAACTGACTAGAGTTCCCAACAATATACTGCTTGCGTACCTGATAAATGCTGTACTGCTGTCACAGTTTAAGGAGCTTAAAGTGTTAATTTTACATTTAAGGAGCTTACCGTTATTGAGCTCTGAGCTAGAGAAGAAGGATGAATCAGATTTTTGAGGAAATGCCTTATAAGACAAGACCCCAAGCTTGCCTGAAATTGCCTTTTGTTTTGTTAGTGCTATGCAGGACTTTGTTATTTAGACTTTCTGTGCTCAGTTAAGAATGCTGTAGGGGCTCTTGGGTGGCTCAGTCGTTAAGTGTCTGCCTTCAGCTCAGGTCACTATCCCAGGGTCCTGGGATGGAGCCCCACATTGGGCTCCCTGCTCAGCAGGAGGCCTGCTTCTCCCTCTCCCACTCCCCCAGCTTGTGTTCCCTCTCACTGTCTCTCTCTGTCAAATAAATAAAATCTTAAAAAAAAAAAAAAAACCCAGAACAAAGGCCTACTTCCAAATATCACTTTGGGGTTAGGGTTTAAAAAAAGAAAAAAAAAAAAAAAAAAGAATTCTGTACTCGCTAACCTTGCAAACTCCAGTGTATAAATAATAAAATTTTTGGTAAAATATTAGAAACACTCAAGACAATGTCTTATGATTAAAGTATTTTGGAACTTTTTTCA